TTGCTCTAGCTCAAAACCCTCTAAAGGTTTACTACTGACTATTATGGTCAGTTCAAAGTATGCAACTCAATTTGTCAACAATTTATTATCATTTCTACCTAATAAGCTAAATTTAGAAAATAAAAATATTTAAGTTCCAAATGTTCATGGACTATTGAATAGATAATGAAAAAATGTGATATATATATATATATATAATCATTTTCCATTTTCATATATATAGTGAGACATAAGAAAAAAATATGAAGCTTTCAGCAAAATTGATGAATCTAGAAATTATTGTATTAAGTGCGGTAATCAGGACTCAGAAAGGCTAATGCTGAATATTCTTTCTCACACTGGAACACTAAATGGTGATGTTTGTAAGCATGTATGTAGGTTGGGTATGAGTAGGTATAGACCAAGAAACTAGAAAGCGAACTACAGATAGGAAAAGAGGGTTTGAAGTAGAAGTGGGGACAGACAGAACACAGACAACACATAAACTGCATAGAGGACTGTCAGAATGGAAGGGTACAGGACAAGCAGGAAGGTGGTGGAAAACAATGGGGGAGGGCGAGATCAATAAAATCAAATTGTGTTTGAAACGCCATAATGAAACATAATATGTCATATATTCATTTTTTTCTCAAAAACCTTTAAAGAAGAGGATATGAAGAAAGGCTCAGGTAGAAATTCAAATCATTTTTAATTCATTGGAACTAATAAATTTATGAGAGAGGAGAGTGATAGGAACAAGGCTGCTTCTCCTGGAGTCCCTCCACCTCCTGTGTTTAGTTCGGACAGGTAGGGAACCCACAGAGACAACTAGTGTTGGATTTCTGTAACTGCATCTTTCTCTTTCCATTCTTTCCAGGCTCTAACCCCAGAACAAGTGTCATTCTGCACCATACACATGCAGCAATATATGGACCCACGGGGTCGAAGCCAACCTGCTGGCTATGACTACGTTGGCTTCACCAATTCATTCTTTGGCAACTGATAAGCAGATTCTTTATGGGACATAGGTCATACTGTGGCAGGAAGTGTTGTGGGATAAGAAGCACAGACATGTGTGGAAGAAGAAAAGATGATGCTGTGTGTGTGTGTACTATGTGTGTGAGAGAGAGAGTTGGTGTGTGTGTGTGTGTGTGTGTGTGTGTGTGTGTGTGTTTTACATTTATTGGAGAATCAAAAAATTTTATCAAGTTTATGGAGATGTTGCAAAGAGATGACAGACAGCTATGGGATTATTTGAATATACCTAGCCTCTAATTCGGGTGCTAAGGTTTTAGTGTGTGTGTGTGTGTGTGTGTGTGTGTGTGTGTGTGTGTGTGTGTGTGTGTATTCTGCGCCTTTAGTATTTTTCTGCATTCTGATTATAGAAGTATTTCTTTTAAAAGGGAAAACTTAACTAAAATTGTGCTTCTGCGTTTTGGGAACCATATTATTACTAAATACAAGTAGTTAATTATGCTGTGAAGAAGGACAATATAAAGTAGTAAAAATTCAAGGTGATTTACAATTTGTAGCTTTAGCGTGTGTTTAAATCCTTACAATTTGAAAATTAAAAAAGGTGTGTTATTTTATCTTATTCTGCGAACCAGAACCACATAAAGATAACACAAAACTTCTTTTCCCGTTTTCGTATTTCACCATTAGAGTGGATGTTTCTACTCTCGGAAAGACACAATTCTGGCATATCAGAGTACCTTCTTGTGCTCTAAGTCCCTGGATACTCTCTTACATTTTCATATGATACAAATGATGCTTGTGCTTATTCATTTCTGTCTTCTCTTAAGAATCAGGGAAATTGTTCAGAACTTATGAATTAAGGGGAAAATCCAAGAAGATATGGTACTATATCTAGGTATTTTCCGGACAGATATGTTTCTTAGGTAACTTTTTTACCTAATGAATGACACAACATTTTACACAAAGAGTCCCTCACCCGTGAATATTGCCCCTTACTTACTATACTAAGTCTCGGTTCTTCCACTTGAGTAGAAATTAACCCCGTCTTAATTTTTGGAAAAATCTCATCACAGGAGCCAGTTAAAATAATTTTAACTACAAGCACTAGGCCAGCCTCCAGGAGGCCAACTGAAGAGGGGTGGGGGGAATGTACAATCAAGAGATCGTGATGGGGGAACCCACAGAGACAGCTGGCCTGACCTAGTGAGAGCTCACTGACTCTGGACCAACAGCTACGGCGCCTGCATGGGACCGACCTAGGCCCTCCACATATGGATGACGGTTGTGTAGTTTGGTCTGTTTTGGGGCTCCCGAGAAGTGGAATCGGGACCTGTCCCTGGCACATGAACTGGCTTTTTGGAACCTATTCCCTAGGTGGGATGCCTCGCTCAGCGTTGATGCAGAGAGGAGGAGCTTTGTCCTGCCTCAACTTGATATACCCAATGCTTTGTTGACTCCCATGGGAAGCATGCCCATTTCTGAATGGAGGCGGAGTTGGAGAGTACACAGGAAGTGGGGGGGGGGGCACAGGAAGAGAGAAGGAAGGGGAAACTGTGGTTGGTATGTAAAATAAATGAAAAAAATTAATAGAAAAATTATAATTTTGGTTACAAATAAAGATATTTGAAAATGATATGTAAGTTTTTTTTTATAATATTTGCCCTAGGCCATTAACTGCAGTGGAATACAGCAATCAGAACATACCCTGAAAATAGTTGTTTGCCAATATGTAAATCAGTTACAAATAACCAAAATCTTTACAATGGAGGTATATGACATAATAGATCATCAAAAATGAGTATAAGCTCCTGTCTTAAAACTGTCATGTCTGACTGAACCAAGCTTGTGGGAACTCATGAACTTTAGACTGACAGCTGTGGAACCTGCATAGGACTGGAGTAGGCCCTCTGCATGTGGGAGACAGTTGTGTAGCTTTGTCTGTTTGAGGTGGTCCCTGGCAGTGAGATCAGGACCTATCCCTGGTGCATGAGCTGGCTTTTTGGACCCCATTACCTATGGTTGGATGCTTTGCTCAGCCTTGATGCAGGGGGAGGGGCTTGGTCCTGCCTCAACTGAATGTACCAGGCTTTGCTGACTCCCCATGGGAGGCCTTACCCTTTTGGAGGAGAGGATGGGGAGTTAGGGGAGGCTGGGGGAGGGGTGGCAGTTAGGAGGGATGGGAGGGGGATCTGTGGTTGGTATATAAAATGAATTTAAAAAAATTCTTAAAGAAAAAAAAATTGTCCTGTCCGCCTACATTCATTTCTCAGGTCACTCATACTTCCATCTCTTTCCTAAGTCTGGTGGATCTGGAGCTCAGCTTTTCAAAGCTTCCTGCTTCCTTCAGCTTTCAGCCTTCCCTTCTAGGGTGATGGCTCTGCCTCTTTCCTCATCCCCTTGCTTCTTATTTTCTCTGATGAAACTCCATCACCCCTGCTCATGGGTTAGTCTTTCTAAGTCAGTTCACAGATGCCTCTCACCTCCGTTTACTGTGCCCTGTCTCCCTCTTGGTGAAAGGATCCTACCTGAAGTGAGGTGTTCAACTGATGACCACCCTCAACAACACCCCCCACCATGGGTTAAAACATTTCTCACCCTCAATCAGCTCTGTTACACATTCACAGTGTCTTATCGCCCAGCTTCTGTTAGTCTGTTATCTTCTCTGAAGGTCCCAGTCAGTTTAGGAAATGTTCCACCCACTTTTTTTTTTTTTTCTTTTTGATTTTTCAAGACAAGGTTTCTCTGTGTAGCTTTGCGCCTTTCCTGGATCTCGCTCTGTAGACCAGGCTGGCGTCGAACTCGTAAAGATCCGCCTGCCTCTGCCTCCCAAGGGCTGGGATTAAAGGTATGCACCACCACCACCACCACCACCACCACCACCACCACCACCACCGCCTGGCTCCACCCACTCTTTAGGAACAAGGTCATATGCTACCTTAGGCATGAAGCCTTCACAGCTCCTCACCTAGAGTAACCCCTTCCATGGACTAAAAGGCAGCATCACTCTCCAGACTGCATTATTAAAAGTGGCAGTTTACATTTATTTTAAAAAATGACTGACGTCAAGCATATTGATAAATTCTTTATCTATGTACAACATGTTTAGTCACCAACACAAAAGTATGAGATGATAACTATTTTAGAAATGAGGGCATTGAGGCTGAAAAAGTTAAGTGACTTACCCAGCTTAGCACAGCTAGTTAAGGAGCTGGTGTTCACACTTCCTGCCAGGGCACTGTGGGAGTTCACTTTTATTTATTCCTAACAATACCCAGCAGAACATATATAGAACACTACAGGTGGAAGATGGAGCAGGCAAAATAAATAGTTTTACAGCAAAGTCAGAAAGATAAGAGCTGGGATGAGGAGAGAGAAGCAAATACAGCAGCAGGGCTTCTGTCTGCCTGGCATCCCCAGGACTGCTACATGCTGAGTTTCAGACATTAGAAGAACATTATTGGTCAAATATTCTCACTGTGTAATCATGTGACAATTCTCTACAATGTACCCAGTTCCTGACATCTTAGTCTTGAACTTAAACACTTTGAAATTCCCTTGTCTTCTTTAGCTCATATGGGAAATTCGTAATTATCTTAATGAATTAAGAAAATTCCTATTTCTTATTGAATTCTGACCACTGAGAGTGGCATCTATGAGACGGAAGGTGAATATTAAGATTTTCAGCTCACTGTGAGTTGAGCACAGTCACCAGAGCAGGAAATCCTGGCTTATCCTTTCAGGAATTGCAGGAGGACAGGCAGAGGAGGGATGTGGGCTTTGAGGTACAGCAGTTTTGCCAAAATTTTGGAATATTTGGCCCATTAGATTGAATGGTGCATTCATTACATGAAAGTACAACTTAATAGCAGTGTGGTAATTAGTAGAAGATGTGTAGTACACAATTTGAGATATATATAACCATGTGTTCCCGTATTTGCCTACATGTACTCAGACATATAGGAGTTTGTGTTAATTTGAATGTAATGAATGGTTATCCATAACATACACAGACATGTATAGGGTGGACCTATACATGCTTGCATCTAATGCAGCACATAATTTTCTGAAGTTACAGCATAAATCAGGGATTCTTTTGTGTCTAGGGCCTGCCTATACAAAGGAGAGTGTCAATGGACTAGCCTTCATCCTTTACCTAGTAAATTCCCTCGGAAAGCATTCCTTAGAGCTGCTTGCACAGCCCGATTTCTTAAACTATAAACAATAGGATTGAGAAGAGGGGTCGCCACAGTGTAGGTGACAGCAATAAGCTGATCCCTCTCAAGAGAGTAGCTGGCTTTGGGCCTCAAGTACATGAAGGAGGCACAGCCATAGTGAATAACGACCACTGTGAGATGTGAGGCACAAGTAGAGAAAGCTTTCCTCCGCCCCTCAGCAGAAGGGATTCTCAGGATTGCTGCCAGAATGTAGGCATAGGAGACAGCAATTAAGAAGAAGGAGACCAAGAGGACCAGAAGACTGAGGATGAGGATTCCCAGCTCACTTAGTCTTGTATCCCCACAGGCGAGGCTTAGCACTGGAGGCGTGTCACAGAAAAAGTGCTGGATTTCATGGGAACCACAGAATGAGAGGCGAAAAATGACTAGTGTCATTCCTAGTCCAAAAAGGTATCCACTCAAGAAGGAGGTGCCAACTAGCTGGGCACAGAGGGTGGGATTCATACGGCTGACGTAGTGTAGTGGGGCACAAATGGCCACATACCTGTCAAAGCCCATGACAGACAGGAGGAAGCAGTTGGTACAAGCCCACGAAGCAGAGAAAAACATCTGGGTAGCACATCCCGTAAAAGAGATAGCCTGTCCCCCCATAACCAGGCCAGACAGCATCCTCGGGATGATGCCCAATGTGTAACAGGTCTCCGAGAAGGACAGGAAGGAGAGGAAGAGATACATGGGTGTGTGCAGATGGCTATCCAGCCTGATCACTATGATGATGAAGACATTGCTGGTGATGGTGATGAGGTACAAAGAGAGGAACAAGACAAACAGCAGAAGTTGAAGCTCCCCAAAGCTAGAGAAGCCCAGGAAGACAAAGCCACTCCAGCAGGTGGCATTGATCTGTACCATTCTGAATGATAGTCCTGGTGATTCTCTTGACTCCTTCCACCATGCCAGCAGATGTTTAGCCTCTTTAGATGCAGGTGAGAGGGATTCTCTTCTCTGTGTGCCTGTCGGGAATACACACACAAAAGAATCTCTGGTTTACACTGTAATTAAACTTTAGAAAATGATGTGCTGCATTAGACACAAGTCATGTATAGGTCCACTCTATACATATCCATGTATGTTATTGCATTCAAATTAACATAAACTCCAGTATGTCTAAGTACATGTAGGCAAATATAGGAACACATGAGTTTATATAATGCACTCAAACTATGTGTTACACATCTTCTACAAATCATCACACTGCATGTAAGTTGTACTTTTATCTAATGAATGCACATATATTTATATATAGGCAAGTTTGAAATTCATGCACCATGTATTCATTCATCCTGACCTTTTACCTAAGAATACACATTTAGACAAACACAAATACATTGCCTATTAAAATATACAGTAGAGGTGGAAGGATTTTCAAATGTTTTGTAGATTAGGCAAGAAAGGTCAACAGAGGTAACTTTTTTGAAGTCAAACCAAAGCAGGACTGGAGAACAGATTTGCTGTGTTATAATTCAGCATCACTTTTTCACAGAATGATTACTCTCTTCAGGCACCGTGGGACCATTATAGGTGTAGATTAAGTATCTTGCCCAATATAAATTGTTTCTATACAATCACTCCCCTCCAAGACATTCTATCCTTTGTAAATGCCTTCCCTGAGTGAAGTAGGCTTCTTTACCAACATGCTGAACACTGGAGGAAGAACAGGGTACAGCAAAGGTTGTGCATCAGGCTCCCATTAGCCCAGTGATCAGCAACCCAGCACCACTACATTCTCCACCCTCAGATCCCGTGAACCCAGGCATGAATGAGAGCAGGCAGTGTTGCGGGAGAAAGGGGGAATCTTCACTCACATGAAGAAGATCACAGTGGGACTGAGTCCTGCTTTTTGGTAGCCATGCCATGCCATAGGCAGCTCTCAGAAGACAACTCTGCAGGAGTAAGACTTGAGGTCCATCTCAGAAGCTTCTACTCTGAGCATAGTGATGTGTCCAAAGGATACCAGGAAGCTTCCTTCCTCAACTTTGGCCCCAGGTGGTGAATTGAATCTGCTTCTCTCCAAAGAGCTTCTCTCTCAGAGGGTTCTGTAGTCCCATCGGGTGCTATTTCTGGAAACACATCTAATTGTGCTTCTTATTATCATTTGGGACTATCCTTTTGGGGAAAGCAGTGAAGAGAAATGTAAACAAAGAGAAGCTAAGATCATGATTCAAGCCACAATAATTTGTGTATCTAGTATGCAATAAATATATTATTGTCACATACTAAATCTCTTTTAAAACTTGAAATAAGGAAAATAAGATTAAGTTACATCTTCTAGACAAGAAAACTGAGTCCAGTGAAGTTGAAATGACTCATCCAAGATCCCAATACTTGGGACTTGTGCTTTCAAACTCACAGATAAAATGTGTAATCTATAAAATATACTTATAAGAAAGCAGGAGCTCACATTTTCTTACTGTGGACTGAGGAATTTGTAGCAACTATTTCATAGTGTGTCCAGTCTCAAGACCATTGTGAAGATGATCTTGATCTCTGCTGGTCAATATATTCCTTTACCCTCATCTTTCCCTTGGTCAGTATCACTCTTTTTAAAAAAGTAACATCACCTATTTTCATATTCTTTCTTTTGCTACAAAGCTGAAATGTCTGTATCCAGATTTGCCCCTACTTCCCACCCTTTGAACAACATGAACCCCCCAAAGTCAGGATAGGTTAATCATTGTATGCAACTGACATTCTCAAAACACATTTCTTCAATATGTGCACCTGTGATGTACAGCTCTATTCTCTGATGCAATGGAAACCATAATAATAACTGGTAACATGAGTTCAACACTAGAATGATTAAATTCTATTTTATGGATTAAATGGTTAATATGGATAAAATATTTAATTCCATTTTATGGATTTAGTATAATACTTAAGGATTAGTAATATTGTCACTATATTTGAGAGATAACTAATACAAGGAAAAATTGAATGCAATGCCTAAAAGATGATTTTATGTTAAGAAAGCTAACTGGTAACACAGTAGCAAGAGGATTCATGAAGCCATAATATATCATCTTTTTAAAAAAATATTCTTTCTACTTCAACACTATTCCTGAACATGAAAAAGATGAGAAATATTTGAAATAAAGTTAAGTATTAGTGTAAATACAAGTTTTATGACTGTTTTAGTTGGTGGTCTTGGAATTTTACTATGCATTTTAAGCAAAATCCAGTTAAAATTATTATGGAATTATTTGTAGTATTTCTAGACATGAGTCATTATAAACAAAGTAAGAGAAAAGTATAATTATGCACAGTGCTTTATATTTAAGCACTGCCCATCATTTCAGCAGCCTTCATTCTTTTCTGTAACAAGTTCTCATGGGTGAGTTCCACTCTGTGACATAAAGAATGGATTTAGCATTTCTTTGCTTTTCCTAAGGTTCCTTTTTATGTATGGGTGCATGTATCCTTGAGTGAATGGCACGGATGTGCAGGTGCCCAGGGAGGCCAGAAGAGGGCATCAAGTCCTTTGAAACCAGAGTTATGTGCAGTTATTAGTCCTCTAGTATGGCTGCTGACAACCAGACACCGGTCCTGTCCAAGCACTATCCACCACTGAGTCAATCTTGTTCTGCTCATTTTGCTGTTTGTAAATAAAAACTCAACTTTAAAAGCATATTGATTTAATAATGGAAAATATGCATAATAAATCTCAATAAAATCTTCTTGGATCATAGTTGCATATTGGAGAGAGAATAGAAAAAAACATTTGCTGTTTAGAGATAATATACATCATAAAATTACCTTGACTTAAGTTGGTATTTTAAGTTTAAATGTGGTTTCTATTTTGAAATGAGTCGTGATTCTCCTTACTTGTAACTATTTTATGATGAGTAAGTTTTTAACTCAGCAAAATATTAGATTTGGCAGTTCTAAAATAAGACATATGCTTTTTAAAACAAGCAAACTGCATTGTGTTGTGCTACTAATAATCTCTCAGTGTTGTGTTCATTATCTCTACTATTAAAAGCTTAAAATGAAATTAGTGTCAATGCTAAGTTATTTATATCTAATATTCAGAGAATTAGTAAGCTGAAGATATTTGTTAATCTTGGAAATTGGGATTTTCTAAAATGTTCATGCTTTATTGATCTCCTGAGAATATGTCACTTATCAATTGCAAAAACAATTATCTCTGCAAAATCCTATCTTTGAATGCTCAGTTCCTCATGAGAAATCTGTGATGCTTCAATTTACTTTATCTCTTGCATTATTTCTCTTGTAGCTGAGACAAAATACATGACAAGGGAAGTCTACTGAAAGAAGGGATTATTTCAATTACAGTTTAAGGGATGCAGTCCATTGAAGATGGAAATACATAGAGGCATATGCCTGGGGTTGCCATCATATTACATCCATAGTCAGGAAGGACATAATGGACAAGAAGTGGAGCTGTGCTATCAAACCAAGTCAGGCCAACACTCACTTCCTCTAGTGGGACTCTACCTCCTCAATGTTCCACAAACTTTCATAACAGCTCCAGCAATAGTGAACAAGTATTCAGACACATAGGCCTATGGGACACATTCTACAATCAAACCAAAATCCTTTCTTTTCCTTAATGATTTTGAAGTGATTTGCCTTTGGGTTTTGTAAATTTTATTTTGACATATGTTAGGGTGCATTTCTTTAGGTTTATGCATTTGAGATATACTCAGCAAATAAGAAATGTCACCAAAGAAATGGGAGATTTAAAAACAGTGACTGAGCTTTCCTGGTTGATATTATGAGTGGCTGGAACCCTGATAATCACATCATAACAATTCAGATCTTACTTAAATCTCTCATTTTATCTCACTTCTGGAACCACTCCAGCAGGGAAAGTGAGAAATCAGAATATCACTACCAGCTGACCCAGAAGTCTACTTTCCCACTCAGTCTCTGTTGGCACTGGGTGTTGGTTTTAAATAATGTCAGAGCTTTATTAGGAGGAGGGGGGTAACCAGCCCTAGGAAGAAGTGCATGCAGAGAGAAAGAGAGTGGGGGGGAGGGAAGCAGAAGGGAGAAGGGAGGAGTCTGTGTCGAGCTTTTGAGGATTCCCATGCACATGTGCAGGTGGGCTTATGAAGCTACGCCACATACTTGCTCAATCACACAGTGCACTGATAATGTAAGATGTAAAACTCCTTACTTAACTACTGAACTGCGCATATGCGGTCATATAGCTGGAGTGGCAGTATCCTAACACTGGGGATGGAATGAGACTCCTCAGAACTGGCTGAGAGTATTATTTCCGGTTCCCCATTGTGTTTCTGTTTACACCATCCTACCCATCCAGGAAGTTCTTATGTGACACTCAATGCAAAAGCCTCCATTTCACCAGGCACCTCTGGGAATGGAGAAATTCCAACTCTTCTTGAGTCCTTCCTAATTGAAGTGGAAATACCAGGTTCCACCAAACTTTTCATAGGGGAAATCAGAATCATGAGGGGAGATTACTACTTACCTACAGGAATCTTCAGTCTATAGTCAGCCATAATTAACACTACTCTGTAAGGCCACTTTGTTACAGACTCAAAAGGATAGGTTAGCCTCCTCATATGGCCTTTTCTTGTCATAAATAAAAATGAGATGACAACATTTTCTGTGGTGTTTGATTGGAGTGAAACAGTTATCACCAAAAATTTTCTATATTGATAGGCTTCCACATTTCTGGTTTTCAGAAAAAGGAATTAGGACTTAAGATCTTAAACAGTTATTTTTCATCTGTGTCTATTGGCATTTCTGAGTTGATGATTGCCTCAGCTCCAAGATGGGATACATGAGGCAACCAAAACTATCTAGGAAAGATGCTCCTGTGTTTCCTTTTGTTTATGGAGTCTGAACCTGCCCTGTGCACCCCC